TCCGAGATATCGGCGTCGGTAGATAGATATCCGAGAAACGACATCGAAGGTAAACTAATTTCGTCGTGCATGGGTTCGGGGAAGAGAAAGAGGAAATAAAAAGAAGGCAGCGAGTTGGTAGGGGAACCGTTGAAAGGAAAACGACGGACTCCGATGGAAGCGATAATTTATTCCGTTTGACGGAACAACTTTTATTTGTAAAGAGAAATTAACCGGTCGGTTAAGGAAATTCGGTAGAAGTTTTTCCGGAGTGCAGGCGGATAGTGGGATAGTTCGATTTCACGGGCCAGCCAAAGGGATTTAATCGAGCTCGCTTTTGTTTTTATCGGCGAAAGTTCTGCAACATGCAGAGGAGGAGGAGTTTTCGGTGGACTTTGCGAGCCGATCGCTCGGTTTGCGCGGCACGCATACCAGGTGCAAAGTGGTTTTTCTCGGAACGGAACAAGCTGGCGCGCGCGATCGTGGCTTCCTCGATAGAGGATCGAGGTAACCGGAGAAGCGAATTTTTGTTGACGTCCACTTAGCGGACGATCGATCGACGCGGGCCCCCCTAATCGTTTCCACGGAATCGGACGTGTAGAGTTTCGAGGTGGTCGAGCGATAAATTCGTGGCGGTTATCGAGCCGGCAACCACGATAAAACCCATCGATTCCGAGAGGCCACGTGGCCGTGCGTTTTCACGGAACGCATTGCAACGCGTCGCGTCGACATTTCGGAGAAGCGCTTATGGAAAATCGATGTACCTGCCGTAAGCGTTTGCACGCTTTCTTATTCGGCTTCGATTTCTCTCCTACACTCGTTTTCTCCTCTTTTTGTCCATTATACGCTAACGTATTTCGCGTCAGCCCGACGTTCCATACCCAGATACATACACCGGAAGAGTATCGAATGTCTTCGGTCGTTAAAGCTCCATGTTCAATCCGTCCACTCTTTCCCATCCCCCAACCGCCCCCAGCGTAAGGCTACGTTTTTATAAAATCCGCTTCTTTCAAATATACATACGACTATTAGATCCTTTCCGACAGCTCTTACATCTACATAATTGAGCGTATAATTTGAATCTACTATTCCAAGTAATACGACGGAGATATATTTCTTCTAATTATAATACAATGATCCAGTCGTTGCTGCTTTTATTTTCTTAGTTGCTTTCGACAAATACAAATGGCTACGTTCGTTAACGCAGCGTAACCGGTGCCAAGTCACAGCGACGTCGCATCCGCCCGTCTGCAGATCGCGTTGCTCGTGTGCATCGGGTCTGTATTGCATACGTATTCATACGGTTTCGTACATAAATTTCAAAAAATACATTCATACAAAAATGTTGCGTTAAGTGTCGAATACTAAAGTGCTCGTGAGTCACTGTAGAGACTCGTTCCATCGCAAATAATAACGATAACGTTCTACGCGTAGAAAGAACACTGTTAAAAGAAGTGGTCATTTTTGGCGTTGCTTGCAGTTAGAAAATTCAGGCGAGAGCTTTAAGCGTTTTGTCTTCTAAGGAACAAAAAAATGCTCGTATCGCTTACCCGAGAAACAATGGGCAAGTTGCCAAAAACGAATTCAAACGTGTGAATAGGATAGTGATGAAACAACTCGCTTTGGCGTTATTACATTTCATCATCTCCTTATTCTTCAGATATCGAATCGTCTTGAAAATAGTCAGTGGGGAAATCAGCAGGTAAATCAATCGAAGAGTGGAATCGAGCAAATCCAAAATACCATAACAACGTTGCTATATGCGAACAGCGACCAACACAGCGCGCTATCATCGTCTTTGCAAGAATGGCTTCCAATCCGATTTTCCTTTTGTCTATCAATACGTGTAGGTATGAAATACAGGATTCGGCTGAATAACGCGTAAATGCGAATACGACGTCATTGTTTGTGGAAAAATCAGAAAAAGATGTAGAATAAAATTCCTTCATTTGCGGCTTAAATTTCTAGAAAATCGAGTTTGAAAATTCATCAACCATACATAACATGGCTAATTCCGCACTGGACAGAATTAAATAATCAACAGGAGGTCATCCTACGTGTGGAAACAAGTAATAATAATAACAATGAATCGTGTCGTAGCCGCTGTTACATGTTATTCGGCCGAACATTGTATTTTAAGCTATGGGAATGTCGAAAATGTAATTTAGTTTTTAATAGAATTGTATTTTAGTAAAATATTATTTATCCGATATTTTTCGATAATAAATGCAACAGAAAGAATCTCTTATCACGAATTCAGTACCAACTATAACATAAGCTAGATAGCGTAATCAATTCCTACCACTGCAAGAAGATTAATTTATCTTGCGATGATAAACAGCGTTCACAGCTGCGACAGAAAAGAATTGTTATTGTTTCGATTACTCTGAAACTTCGATAATGATATCGTCTCTTTGCTTTCATTTTTTTCATCAACTAAAAATTCCCACAACTACTTCAAGAATACTTACATGCGTAACGTATAGGTATGTATTTTATATCATTCTTATTCTGAGATCGGATCATTAAGTCCTTGAATATGCAAACGGTACACTTGTTCGGATGCAGAACGGTGAACGCATTATCGATCGTTGTTATCATGCAACAACGATTTTATGGTACTTTGCTCGATTCCAAACTTCGGTCGATTCATCAACTGACTTTGTCGTTAATTATTTCGAGAATGATTCAATATCCGAAAACAAGAAGATGAAACGTACCGCTTAGGTGAGATCGATCACTATCATATTCACGCGTTTGTATTCATTTTCCACAATTTTTTCATCCTTTTTTGGAAACATTCTGCATAAATTTTTCAACTCCAATCGATACCGAAAATGGCTATTTTTACCATACTCTTCTTTCTCGCATTTACGCAAACACACGCAATACTCGTTCCATAGTTAACTATCAAACAGCTATATTTGCAAAAACGCGTATTTGACCGAACAACCGCGACCTTCACGGGGTTAAGTGTTTACAAGTCGATTAGCTCGACCAGTTACGAACCAATTTTTCTCCGTATCGGCGAGAGTGCAGATATTTGGAATCGCGTTGCTGTTTCTCTCGCGCATCGAAGGGGATCGAAGAAAATCCTCGAGCGGGGCGAAAGAAATCCAGAGAGACGAGGACTGTAAGCTGCAAAAAGCTCAACGCCGCTCTTCGCCGGAGCCGGGGCCAATGTATAGCGTATAGTCGGCTGGAAAAAGGATTTCCTTTCCGCTTCCTAGTCGAACGATACGTTCTCGTGGAAAACTGGAACAGCCGGAAAATCAGACCGCTGGATCTGCGTAACTCCAGGCTTCTCCCATCTCTTCTCTCCTCTTCAATCCTCTTCGACCTACCCGACAACCGATTTTCCTTTTGCGGATTATTCGTCGCCCATGAGGAATTTCGAGCCGATTTTCATTGTAAGCCAGGAAGAAAGCGAATCTCAATGATACGTATTTCGCATTTGCACGCTTGCGGCGGTGTTAGACGCTCGAAAGGAAAGTAATCGATTTCCATAATTTTCCCAGAATCACCGCGATTCTTCTAGAATTTTACAACGGCTTGATTTTCGAGGCAGTCGAGTGACGGGTCGACTTTGATCAGCTTTTATCCGTATCACTGGGCATATTTGCGTTAACCGTACGCTGATCGCATAGCACGGTGTCGCTCACATACGCAAAGGTTACACATGGAAAGTTGTAATATCAACTGTTGTACCGAGTCGCTGGGAAAGCTCGTCCCGATTTTTGAGGAATATGGTCGACATGAAAGATCGTATGGAAGATCCATTCGCTAAAAATACCTGAGAGCTTCTGCAAGAATGGAATATTCAAGTTGCGTGAAAGATGGAGAAAGCTTGTGGAACAAAATGACACCTGTATAATTCGATAAACATATATCGAATCGAATTGTAAATCGGAACGAACTCTCCGAGCGATCCAATAATATCACTAGAACTATCAATAATTAACACGAAGCTATTTCTATCAAAACCGGTCAAAATGACTGGACTTTAGAAAATACGTAATAATAGAATATTTGTATATTTACTGATTTATTACTTTCTTACAGAAGGAGTTCCACGCTATGTACTACATTTTTGGTATTGTCGATCCATCTGGGACCACGATACCTAAACGAAGATTGACACATTATAAAATTGTAGAACTAGTGATTTTTGACTGGTGCGGTATTTCTAGCGTTAGCATCTAGCGATCCAGCGATCGATCCGGAATTTTCCTGATAATCGATATCATATCGAATGATACGTGGTAAAAATTTGAAAAACGTGTGGGAAGTTGTACAAAACGAGGAAACTGGTTAATTGGGGTTCGATAAACAGATTGCAGGACCCTTTTCCACTTCGACAAGTACCATTCATTGTGACTGCTATTGGTATAAGCCTTAATACAAAATTATTTTCAGTTTGAATACATAAAAAGCAAAATAAAATTCATTATATTATTCCTTTAGTTATCGTCGAGAATGTCATTACATCATTGCGGAAAAAATATAACATGAAATAGGAATTTTAAAATAAAATTATGAAACCAGTCAATTTGACTGCTGTGGTAGTTCTAGTGTTAACAGTACAATATTTATATATATTATAATACCCTATATTGTAGCACATAAAACATACTAGTAATACATTCGGCATTAATCCTTTACACTCGAGAGGAGACTTTCAGTGACCACGGCGTTCCGTGCTGCAACTTTAGTGGCGAGCGAGAGGCGACAGTCCCTGTTTATGTTAGATTTCGACATCTCCAGTTGACGAGAGTGCAATATTGGTTCGTAAGTTGGTTCTTTAGTTCTTTGTGCTGTTTGTTAGCAAGTGTAAAGCGTTAGACTTTAAAACGGAGACAAAATATTTAATGCCATATCCCTCCGAAATTATGGTTCTGACAACGTCTTCAACGTTAGTTCGGATTCGACGATCATGACAAAAGTATTATAGTTTAGAAAATCTAAAAAAATGGTTTTCGGATGTGGAATTAGCTGAAACGAAGATGAACTTGATTTTGAACTGTTGGAAAATGAGATCAATTATATTCAAGAATGCATCTTGGCGAGTGCTTTGTAAATTATCATACAAGAAAAACACAGAAATTAATATTACAAAATCATATTTTCAAAGATGTAAATATAGATCAATTATCAGAATATAACTCTTTTGTAAGTTAATTTGTATATAAAAATGTATTCAAAAAATATATAAAGCACTGCAAATTTCACGCGTATTAAACGTGAGATAACATCGCTGCAGTGGTGGACTGTTTCGTTGTCTTCGGTTATAATCGTAGCTTTGGACAGCACCATAAGTATATTTAGATGTAAATATACAGAAATACGAAAATGTAGGATGAATTAACGCGTTTTAGTTACGTTAAATAAGTATTTATACTGTGTTATAGATGCAAACTAGAACTATTTCTTGACCACGAGCTCGAAATTAAACACATACATATCGCGAACGTTCGTTACAGCCTCGTCGGATCGGCTGAACTACGATTTTTCCGGCTGCCGTCTCGCAGGAACACCGAAGGTTCGACGCGAAGCACGCGGACGCGAACGATTCAAACTTAGCAACTGTCTCTGCTATTCGTCCTGCTGTCGACGTCGCGCTGTTTCTCATGCACTTTCGATCGGAAACCGCGAGACGTACAAATGACGCTCTTTCGGGAACAGAAAACGCGTTTTATCCCCGAGGCGTCCGACGAGTTTCATCCTTCTTCGATGTTCTCGCCACACAGCGACTCATTTTCGTCGCCGAGGAAAAAGCGGAGTGCCCCCGCTAGTTTTCATTCCGAATTTACGGTGTCGAGGGGAACTTTTTCTACTTAGCGAGGATGAATGCTTTTGTTTCCTGGATGCGGCGAGTGAGATTCATTTCGCTGCGCGTACCTCTGCACATCGAGGTTATCAACGCGACGATAATTAATTCGCGGAAGATTCCTGCGACGCGTAAACAATGCCGAGCTGCGAAATATCGTCGTTTCGTCGGTCTCGCTCGTCCTTCTCCTGTCTTCGTCCGTAATCGAGTTGCAGCGAATTAGCGACCGTACTCCGTGTCACGTTTACCGTAAACACGGATGCGATTCCGAAAGACGTTTCGAGTTTCCAGCGACTGCAACGACAACGTAGTCGAACACGGAGACGTTTCGAGGTACCCGAGATTCGATTCGTCGCAATCAAATTACCGATATTCTGATCGAGTTAACCGAACATCGGACCAAGCTCGTTATAAATGACTTTTTCCAACGCTGGTTTCCGTGTTTCAATTTCATCCCTCGATTCGCCAGAGAGAATTTCACAGCAGCCGCAACATTAATGCAGATTAAAAACATAATCCTCGGTCCGGGTCGGATGAAAAAGCGGAAAAAAACTCACCTACCGTGAGACGCGGCCGCGCGTGTTCGCTTTCGCGAAGCCTCGTCCAACCGATATAAATCACTCACCTGAAACAGAAAAGAAGGCGAAAGGGTTAGAGATCGTGGCCTGACGATGTTACGAACGACTCGCGATCTCTCGTTCGGCGAAACTGTTATCGTTCGCGCGAAAAAGTCACTAATACGGAAATATTTGCCTCGCTGGTGAATTATACCGCCAAGGAAATTGCGCCACTTGGCGCAAGTTTCTCTCTTCGCAGATTGCACCCTCGAAACCATCTTTCAAACGTATGCCCCACCTTTTTAATTGGCAGTTTTCGACTCTCGTGCACGCGCGAGTTACCCGCTTTATCCGAAACCTCCGCTCGGCAAATCCCCAAGGCGCTCGCGGCTCCGGTTTTCCTACTCTTTTTTCTTTCCTACCTACCGCCTAGTCAACGAGAGTTCCGATACGTGGTGTACGTAAACGAATTCGACGTAACGATTAACTGTTAAATTAATTGCAAATGTTATATATTGTTAAATTCTTTCTTTTTATTTGGCTGAATTTTACAATCAATTCTCATTGGGAATTATAAGTAAATTTTTCTGTCGTGGTACTATATCGTGTTTAATAAGTGTTTATCGTGCGTTTGATTCTAGTTGAATCTAATGCTTAAATCTAAAGGTAACGTCTTTTTAGCCTGCGGATTTGATCCGAGGTGTCAAGTAATTGAATAACTAGTGGGTTTTGGTGGTTGTTAACTCTTATGTTATATCTGTCGGAGTCAGGTTGGCATTTTGGGGCGTTCGATGAACCTTTACTTACTTTACCGTCGCGGGTGTAGCTAATGTTTATCGGTACAAATGTGGACACTACAAGAGGCTATGAGTAATGGCGATAGAATGGTCGAGATGATGGTTACAACGAATTCAGGTTCGATAACGAATCCACAGTCCACGGGATGACGAGTACCAACGTAATACACCACTCGGATAACTCAATCGGCAATTCGTCCAACGACTAACTAACTAACAAACTCGTAATCCAAATGAAACTGCCCTTATATATTCCTGACCCCACCTCTCGGGTCAATCTTTGTTTTTAAGGAGAGTCATGTGATTATTCCATACTTCTGTCAGGTACACGTCCCTCCCGTGACCGTGGCTACGTCTAGTGACCCGCTATGTCACTTCGAGCCGAGTTGTCAGACTTACATTAGAATTAGGGTTAGGGGCGTGAAACGAATCTTCGTTTGGATTACACGAAGTCGTTATGCAATAGAGAAGACATTGACTAGTGCAAATACGATTATCATAGAACCGGACAAGTAACCATGGTAATTAGATACTCGAGAAACTAATGACAATGATCCTAGGTTCGATAACGCATCCGCGGTCGACGGGATGATAGATGAACGTGCTCACAAAATCTAAGTCGGACGCGTAATGTTCACTGGTCGTAAGGCGTTACTCTTTTCGTCGATGAGATCGCGAGAGAGTGACTCTGGAACGTTAAAACTATTTCTTATTTTTATTACTTAAGTATAGCTATAGCAAAAGTCTGGACTAGGGTATCGGGGGTTTTCCCAACATTCCAGACGGGAAATCCCGCTGTTCTTCCATCTCCGACATATCTATTACTGAATTTGGATATTTCTTCTTTGACTGTAGGTATCTTGAGCTCGCGATGTATTGTTTCGTTGGTAACGTACCAGGGTGATCTATTAGTATTGTTAAATCAACTGACAAATTAGAACTGTTGTGGGACAACGCTGCAGCTATCGACACCGCTCCAGGCTTCCGACTGTAAGCTGTGTACAAGAGAAAAAGGATTCTCCACGTTTCGTTGCAGCTGTGTACAAGAGAAAAAAGATCCTCAACGTTTCATTGCAGCCTTCGTCAGGGACCGAAGGTCGGTATCAACGCGTCAAGACGTTGGTTTACGTGTACCGTAAGATGCGAAAGCTTGAAAACCGCTGTTGTAATTCAACGTATACGAGTGGAGATGAAGCAACCCTTAGGGTCCGGCGATTTCGAGGCTGGGCAGACTGTTCCAGGTAAAAATCGGCTGCAAAGTCAGCGACGAAGATGCTGGGGTATGGCATCGGGATGCCACGGAGAAGGAAGAACGACGGAACGAGACGAACGCGGAAGACGAGAGAAAAGGAAAGAGATAAGAAAAGGGAAGAGTAGAGAGAGAGAGAAAGAGAGGAGAGGAGAGGGAGTTCGAGGAAAGGTAGAGGCATGGGTCATGCGCGAGGATTATTATCGGCAAATGAGAAAGAGGGAGGAAAAGGGAGGCGGGTTACGACGTAGGACGATGAGGAAAGAGGTCGAGTAGTTTGTTTTCAAAGGACAGGTAATAATGGCTGTTAGGCGAGTAGAGTGAACTCGGTATGGAGCGCGAAGATGGTTTGTATGCAGACAGCGGCGGTCGTTCCGACACCCGGCACACGTGATGAAATTTCCTCACGGCGTCGTGCTGCGTCGCGGCGGCGGGGAACACGACACGGCCTTTTACCGAACCGAACCAAACCGAATCGAAGAAACCTTGAACACAGGAAAAGATCCGTAGAAAGGAAATCCGAAGCAACGAGAAAATGTCGATGAAAGATCGAAGGTTAATGGCCAATCGGCAGTTCGCCTAAAGTGAAACGAATCTCAGTGAATATTTAGATATTTTCAAATAATATCAAACGAGAAGATTGCGAAGAAAATGAAATGCGGAAAGGCGAGGCAAAATAGAACGGTTCGAAGCGAGTAGAGTCGTTGGGATCTGCGAGTTAATTCAATTGCACGTGCATCCCACTCGCGGCTCTCTCAACTTTCTAGAGACTACCGTTCCCGGGGACAGCTGCTTCCGGTTCTTCGCGCGTTCCGCCAACCTATTTCGAACACGGAAATTACCTGGCGTCGCTCGACAGCTCGCAAAAGCTGAAACGGGCCGGTGTCGGTTCTCGTCGCTCGATCGAAACGTTCGACGCGACGCAACGGGCTGAATCGCTATAACGATAGGCTGAAATCGAACGGAAGTAACAAGAGACGAGACGTTGCGAGAAAACTACGAGGCAAAGTTACGAAACATCGGCACAACAAGGCAAGCAACGTGGAACGAATCACGCGGCGCAACGTTCAGGAACTTTATCGAACTTCTATCGAATGCAGTGGCTCGTTAAATCGTAATTATTAGCTCGTTACGAAAGTTCCGTTCGCACCAACTCGCCCGGTAATGCCCGACTTTTTTTACGCGCTTCGCCGTGGAATTACGAACGCTGTAGTCCGTGTTTCCTCCGTGTTTTAAACACCGGTTTCTCTACAAAGAGAAAACTTTCCGTTTTCCCGATCCGTTTCCGCCACGATACCTACCTACGTGTCAATTCGACGACCGTAGCTTTCGACGGAGTTCCCTCTGCCAACCCAATATATGCACGTATTAGGTCGTCCGAAAAGTTTCTTTCGTTTTATGAGGAAATAATGGATGCACAACATTTTTCCGTTTTACATTATTTTATCGAATTACGTATGATCCATTTTGTTTTATCAAGATGAAGATCACAACGTTTGACAGATTAGGTCTCGTGTTTGTATAAAGATGCATCGTTGTAAAAGACGTGTCTGTAAAAGAAAGACACTTCTCGGACAACCTAATATTTCGGTTTTCAACCGTTTTCGATAAACAAATGAAGATCGCGTGTAAAACGAGATGAGAGGCGGTTGCTTTTGGTGATCGGTGCGACCGAGTCGGCAACTAACCGACAACTTGTAGCCATAAC